AAAAACAGCTTTCATTCTTGTGGAAGTCAATTTCCGCTCTAAATGTAGACTGACTTTTTGCAACTTGTTTTGCTCAGAACTAATGAAGCATGCATTCGTTCTCGATGAAACTTCTACACTAGATAGAACATTAAAAGTTGTACTAGCAAAAGTAATTTCAGATCGAATCCTCATTTTGTTCCTTACTATTTTTACATTATAGGGGAAAATGTAGACCGACTTTTTTTTTTAACTCAATGTAGACCGACCTTTTTTCGTGAGATTTTGGTCAAAGCTAAACGAAAACCATCAATACCGTATACCAGTCGACTCCTCAGACTGCGGCGAGTTTGACTACCCAATTTTTGGAGCTCTAAAATCTATAGTCTTTGCTAAAATAATGGATAATTCTGAAAGTAGAATCATATAACGAAATTCGGACTTTTTAGATTTTAACACTAAAGAATGAAAAACCTTTTCTGCGGTTTTTCGACTTGACGCATTTGCTCACAGTCCCACTGTACTGCTCGAATCATTCTCTGTCGAACAATGTAGAATACATCTATTTCAACCCTTTTTCTAGCAAAATCCTGCCAAAAATTCTCTATGGCAAAAACTGAAAATTGTCTCCCTCCTAACTCAGTCAGTATGAGTCTGGCAGTTGGGAAATTTTTATAGGATACTCGGCAAAGACAGGGGAACAAAACGTACCATTCAATTTTTTTTTAATGAACACTTTCATTTTTTTTTATCGATTGTACCAGAAAGTTACGTTTCTCTCCTATGTTCACTTTTTTCTAAACGAAAGATAAAAACATAGTAATTACATGATGTCATAAAAGCCATCACCAATGTAAATGTGAAATAAACGAACAATGTAATGCTGTAGGCGAGAACTCCTCAGAGTATGCGGCTGAGACAATAATTAGAGGAATTTGAGTGTCTGATCAATTAGAGATTGACTGAAACAGCAAAAAAATCTTGTGTCTGTTACAGTATTTATCCCCTTTATATCTTCTCGTTTGACTGAAAAATGCCGGCGAGTTTCTTTTCAAATTCACAGAAAATAAAGACAATTTTCCAGAAATTAAGTTTATTTTAGAGAAAATCGAATGCTGTGTTTAAAAAATCACTTTGACTTTCTATAAAATTAATCGACTCTTCAATTTTTCCAAAAAATTTGTAAACGTTTTCTATTACTTGAAGAATCAAGACCATTTTTCGAACTAGTTTAAAAATCAAAATTTGAAAATCGACTCGACTTTTAAACAAAGTAGAAAATAAGCATTTTCAAAACTTATAAAATCGTTCACGCTTTCATAAAATCTCTGTAAATCATTTCGGATTTTCAAAGTCGATTTTCTGTAACTTAGAAAATAAAGTGAATTGACACTGTACGTCTGTTTCGCTCAATACCTTAGTAATTTGCTTAGAAAGTCTATCAAACATAAACAGGATATTCTTTATTTTGTAGATTTGTTGAAAAGGTCAGCAATTTTGTCCTTAGGCCTCTGATGTTGAAAAAGATCCCCAGAAAATACTAATAAGAGATTTAATCTGGAACAATGGGGCTATGTTTATGACTGTACAATCGACATGTGCTGTGTGCGGTAGAAAGCATGGTTGAGTGAGAACGTGTTTTAACTGTATAAGTATACAGCAATACATTGTCAAAATTGCACATGTTTTTGTCTATGATCCTTGAACCAAATTCACCTAACTTCTGAGATGAAATCTAAAACTTCGGTTCAGTTGTTGCAATTAGTGATGACAGTGGTAGGCTTGGTTCCTATTATAGTGGGCTTAAGTGGTATATTAATGGGTCCGGAAAATGTAATTGAACTTAGACATGGTGAGACATATCCAAACAGAGTTGATAATAACTACCGTTATCTATCTGGACTACTACTAGGTATCGGACTCATTTTTTGGAGTCTCATACCAGACATAAGGGAAGCTGGAACAACCGTTCGAATATTAACATTTTTGGTAATTGTGGGTGGATTAGGCAGACTGATAGGATTGGGAAAAACGGGAATGATACCAGATACGTTTATGTTATTCGGATTATTCATGGAGTTAGGTGTTACGCCCACAATATGCTATTGGCAGTCAAAAATAGTTTCACGAAGAAATGCTTAAAATAAGACTATTTTTGACTCACTGTATGATGTGCTATATGAAATCCGCTATGTGTTATGAATAGTAAATTGACATCCGTCTTTCATTTTGTTAACCTGAACTCAGTACAAAGGGGCCTATAGAAGTTTTCTTCGTCGAATAAAAGATTATTCAGCACTGCCTACTGGAAACTGCGCATATGTGCCAAAAAATAAAGTACACCGTTAACTTGACGACAAATTACAGAAAGTAGATAACGATTTTCAATCTGTGTACATACGAATTCACCAGTGATTTTCTACGTTCTAAGAAATGTGATTTTCAGGAAATCACATTGCATTTTGCATAAAATCAACGACGCTTTTAAAACTAAAAAAATCACCGACGAATTCGTATGTGGACAAATTGAAAATCAAAAGAGGAATATATTTTCAAAGAAACTGAACATCTAGAACGATTTTAAAAAATAATTTATGTCGGTGCTTTTGTTTTGAGTTTTTGACGCAGACGCAACCGATAAAATAGTTAGCTAACACCTCTACTTGTAAAGACTAAAAATACGTCGTTTTTTTCAGTTTTTTATGCTCTTACTGTTAAATAGTACGGAAATAGCATGCGATCTGTAATAAGTTTACAACCTTTATGCTGACAGACTTACCTGTTTTAAGAAACGAACTTGCAGCTTTTCAGCTTATTAGAATCTGTTTTTTCAAACTTCAGCGATATCCATTTTTCGCAGGAGTTATTGACACGTAACTTCTGGAAACGTAAACGTATTTCATTGCGATCAATGGAATCGTAAATTTCTGGACGGTGACAAAATGACCGAAAATCTCAAATTCGAGATATGTTTAAGCCCAGAAAGCACACATTCGATGAAGCGCCTGATGTTCCAATAGTTCAGATAATAACTTTACTATAACACTCAACAAGTGCGAATAAATTCAACTCTGTCTAACCTCATTTTTATCACGTTCAGGGTCCCACAGGGATCCATATTAAGACCTTTGCTATTCCTGATTTACATCGACGAGCGTTCATTAGTCGTAGGCCCTTATATCGCAGATTGCGGACGACCCTTTTTGTGCTGTTCCATTAGTCCCTGATGAATGATTACAGTACTCGGCAAAAGTATCGACACCCCTGTAACTCAAGAACCGTGATAGCTAGGAACTTCTAGTTTTGTGTAATCATAGCTCTTACCGAGCTCTCACCGAATTTGGGTCTCTTTCACTGGATGATTTGTAAGATATAAGCGATTTATTTCTTGTCCGTAAAATATCAATAACTTCTGACATAAGACTGCAAGTAGTCAGTGAAATAGAGATATTTTACTCATACTCGTCAGCCTGATGCTTGCGTCTGTCGTTTCTCACCTAATCTTCACCGGTAAAATTGCTGGGTCTCTGCACCGAAATATGTTATCATATGGCAGAAACGATCGGGACTGGTTCCGGACCTTGGCGGTACCTTAGCTGAATCATACAATGATCGCCACTGGAGTCGACTTGTGATAATATCTCATGAGCTTCTCCTGTACTCCTGGAACGCATACACGGCATTCGACATGGATCTTGATACGTGAATAATGAAACAGGCATCGATCGTTGAGAAGACAAATCAAAAGAAAGTGAAGAAGAGGCATGTGGTACTGATAGACTGGGGGTACACACGCCTTGAGAGATAGTCATCAGATAACCTTAGGTGTGATGAAGAAGAAAGAAATGGCACAATGATGTGCGACGTCCGGTGTTTGCTCGAGGGATGGCAGTTCCCCATTGGGAGAAATTTGACAAGCGGCCTTCGGTGGTGGCAACCAAAGGTTTCAACAATTGACTTTGCCTCGGCTAACCACACCGTCGACTCTAGGGCAAGTCAAAGCGACTTCGAGGGGTGGCAACTCGAGGCTCGAACGGGCACTTTGCCTCGACGATCAATAAGATTCGGCGACAAAAGGCGGCCCAGTTTGTACATATCCGGTTGTTTTCATGTTTATGTTCTTTCTTCCTGCTTTTTTGACTTTTTATATTTTTTTTCTTTTTTTCTTTCTGTTTTCTCTCATGTAACTTCTTCGCCCTAGTCATTACACTACCGAATGTCTTGATGCGCGCATCTTTGTTGGGAAGGTGATATGATCTGCCTTCCCCGGCAGCTCATAAGGTTCATTCTCTCTCCATTCTGCTCTTGTACCATTCTTGCAACTCTTGTTTCATTCTTTCGTTTTCGTTTCCTTCCGCAGTGTGTTTTCCCAACTCTTTCTATTCTTGCGCAACACTTGCGTCATCCTGTGGTTTTCCTAACTCTTTCTGTTCTTATGTAACTCATGTGCAACTCTTGCAAAACTCTTATTTAACTTTTGTACTATATATAGCCGTTCATTTGTTTCAAATAAAATATGTCGGAGTGAGAGTTGATTCCCACTACAGCTTCGCTTCTACGATTAGAGTTAGACACTAGAGGAACCATATCCTCACAAAATGTCGTTGTAATTTCGGACAAACAGTTAGCAATTTTACTCAATGTATCATTTTGCTGAAACTCGCATACCAGTATTTATTCTAATATTTCAAAGTTTTTTCTCTCAGTCTCCATCAGATTTGTAAAGCAATTATCTTGTTTTTTATTTTTGACACCAGACTAGACGTGGCGTCAAACCACTCCTGTTTTACTGATTTGCCGTTTTTTCTTCACAGCAGAATTTAAGAAATAAACGAAAGAAATGCATCAAGAACAGTTTTTAGAAAGCGGTAGTCTTTTCACCTGAAATTCTCCCATTTCTTCTTTACTTCCTCTTCTGACCGTTCGCAACCTCCCAGTGCCGATACTGCTTCGCCCACGCCTTTTGTTGAAGGCGTTTCATTTTAACCACAAATGTATGCTCTACGACCTGGGGTTACTAGAACCCGTTTTTATCCCGACATTTCACTGAAATACCAGGATTTTAGAAAAATCGGGATTCTTGGGCGTTTAAAAAATTTGTTCAACATCTGCCGGAAACCTTTGATATTGACACAAATAGTACTGCTCCTAAAAGTATTTCGAATAATTCCTGTATCAGAAGTCTATTCCCATTATATTGTGATAAACAAACTTAAAATCGGAGAGTTGATAATCCTCTATTATCCGTTGCTACAGTAACGAGCTCTCCATGGCTGAAAAGCTGAAAAGACATCTTTTGTTTCATTGTTTCTTCTACCATAACCGAGTATCCATTTTCTATAACGCTGGATATTCAGCGGAGAGGTTGATTAAATATTTTGAAATACAAGTTTCGAAAACTGGCTCTGATCGAGATTTCAGTACACGGTTTGTGACAGTAGTGGCGGAGGTCGCGCTGTTCGACACAGTAGACAATAGATGCTCGATCAGTGAAAATCTTCACAACATTTGCAGGGTTGATCATTTCGAAAAAGACGTGAGGAAAACTGGTATCGGATGCTTGCTCGTACGTCACTTGTATATCGTAAACAATCGAATGAAGAGAGAAACAACCTCGTGGTATGATTCCGACATGAAAGAGAGGAACACGTGGAGAAAGAAAGTAGAGAAACGTAAAAAAAGCATAAGCACGCATGGTTATAAGTCAGACATGTTGGTACGCCAGCAAGGAAGATGAAAAAATAATCGCTATTGTATTATTTGCTTCCATTAATCTTTTGCAGTGTATGATGAAATCAGATGTGAAATGAAGAGTTCTGGATGTTCTGTGACCTGATGAACAGCCCTTAGAGGTGGTACTGATGAGATATGACCTAGCACTAAATCCAGAATATGCAGTACGAGCAATGCATGAAGCTTTGAAAATTTTCCACCTGAGTACTGTACTGTTCTCTAAGAACGATCATTTTCCACTTCGGTCCCGTTTCGTATGTATCTTGAGAATTGGATACCTCGGGAATAAAGGCACGAGGGGATAAATCCTCTTGATGTTTTCCATACCTCATTGAGGTATACCTATCGCCAAAAGATGGGGCCTAAAGGCTTTAAACACCTGGGAAACTTCCCTCGTTAGTCATAAAATACAAAGTGTCCCTTTTCATATGACCGTGCTTGAAAATATAGTTTTATGTCCAAAGTCTAGTATCGTTTGCCTACAAGAGACCCGTTCGTTTATTTTTCGATATTTTAGATAGCGGGTGTCAAATTGGCCATTATACAGTTTAAACTGCTTCTAGTTTAATTTTTATGTACTGTTTTTTCTTCATCATATATAAAGGTGAGATTAAACTCAATGGTTCAGTCGTCGATTGATGCACTGTATTAATCTAAATCTAGAATTTGAATGAATTTCTATATAATCGTAATTTATCCTTTGTACACTGATTAATCATAGCGAGTGCAGGTAAAGATATGACTTCAGAGACATTATCTTTTGTTATAAAGTAACTGGGATGCAAATAGGAAATCAAAATAATTAACCGAAATCTATTCTGCATTTAATTTTACAAGTTTGTGTTTACAAGATTTATTTTAACGCTTCCTTTGTTTCCTGTGTTTCTGTTATATGTTTTACTACATCGATTCAACTGCCTGTTCGTTATTGTTAAGTGTCAATACGGTACCATACTTATACTTCGCACATATTAAAAAGTGTTAAAAATCTTACTAAAATGGTTTACATCTTATGGTTTATGTATTATTCAATGTCGAACATTTGTAGTGTGATGTAGAACCTTGTACGTGCCTGCAAGTGCACTAGTTTTATCATATATTTTATTGTTTGATCGATTACTAGATTTTTTTTGTGATATAGGTTAATAGAGAATCGTTTCCTTCTCTCTATGAATTCGCCGTTTGTTGGTCAATATTTGATTCATGAAATGACATCAATCAAATTGCGTGAACCACGGCATAACACAGTGTGCATCTAGGCCGGCTTTTGGTGAAAAAATGAAAGTTGATTTTTCAGTGATTAATATACTTTGAAACATGCAAAAACATGCAAGTTTTTGTCCTATAACTTATTTAAGCTGGAAAAACCTATACACAAAATAGGCTAAAAAGACGTGTCCATCAGCAAATCAGATTATACGCAAAAATCAAACATAGCTATTGGACTAAGGTACTCTCAGAATCGCCATGAAGTGAGCTATCGACTGGTAAAAGTTTTACTATTTTTGGACTTTCCAAGTTGGAGAAAATAATAAAGCATTTTTCCAGCGTGTTTTTCGACGAGGTGTGTTTGATACAATGCGTGCGCGAACTGTAGCGAAGATCTAACATTGCTGAAATTTACAGAGAATGTAGTCCTCTAAATGACATGTCCACACAGTTAGCGGCAATCAGCGCAGACGTTTCCGGACCGAATGGTAAGTTTGCCGAAAACCTCGGTTTTTTAGAGATTTTCCCTATTTAGTTGCGCTCTGAAACAAAATCAAGACAAAATCAACTAGATATTTGGGATCAGCGCGAAAAACTGCACCGAGTTATATGCGATTAGTAGGCTTTTCTGAGCAAAAACTGGTTGGATCTGACGAAACGCTAAGGTCGCAACGTGTGCGCGACAAATAAAGTTTTTCTTTCTACAGTTTGTTTTTTTAGCAGGGTTTATTTAGTTTCCTAGTAAAGAGAGGCACAAAGAACATTTACTTTTCCTTATCTAATGCTAAAATACGAATGATCAGAATTATCATGAGCTATTGTGTATATTTAAAACAAAAGAGATGTAAAAATAAGTCAGCTGAATTGTTGATTCATGAAATTCGGTATTATTTTTATTGAACTGTTAAAGAGGGTTTGAAGATCAAATCAAAATAAATGTCTAAACTGCACTTTTTATACCAAATCCGTAACGTAGTCAATCATGAAAGAAAACTTCGATTGGTTGTTACGACAGCGCAAAAATGGATAAAACTACCTTTTTATCAATGCTTCGATCTGTAGAAACAATTTTCACAATATTGATAATAGTGCTTCATTTTATTCAATCACTATGTTTTAAATTCTTTCCTTGTAGGTCTCCTTTACACAATGTCCACTGATGCGATTCATATTGAGTATGAACAACCTTTATCCGTAAAACAGTCTGTTTCTATCACGTCATCACCGAAAAATAAACTCAAATATTCATTTTGTAGTATTACATTGGAAAAATGGTTAAAAATTGTCTCATCGTTGCTTGTTCCTCTAATGATTGGTATATTCACAATTGTTCTCACAATACATCAAAATCATTCGAGTAACCAAAATCGTTTAAATGATTTGGAAATAGCTAATCGTCAACGTGAACAAGATCAACAACAAGCAGATGAATCACAGAAAGAACAAATCTACGCAGCATATATCAAAGATATGAGCGAATTATTCATGAAAACTGATTTGAATGTTGTGTATTCTGAATCAAATGAATCAATTCTTGACGTGTTACGATTCTTGGCTGTTACGCGAGCGAGAACGGTGTCAACGATTAGACAGATTGATATCAAACGAAAACAGTATTTGATTCACATGTTATATGAGTCGGGTGTGATCAATAATTTGAAACGCGCGATTGATCTCAGTGGCGCCGATTTGAGTCATATCGATTTATCCAGTTCAAGTGCTTCGCTTAAGTGGATAGTTATACGTAATGTAAACTTAACAAATGCATCGTTCGTTAATGTTGATCTCAGAAATGCAAATTTTAGTGGTTCAATATTGGATGAAGCTGATTTTTTAGACGCATCTTTGAAAGGAACAGATTTTACCGGTTGTGAATTGAGACAAACAGATTTTACGGGAGCTAATGTAAAAGAAGCAATATTTAATAATGTCAACCTCACTAGAGCAGTTTTTACAGAAAAACCCTCTTTATTGATAAATACCATTTTACCAAATGGTAAATATGTGTACAACAGTACAGACTTTGGGGTAAACGACAATTTCAAATCGATAAATTTAGTTGTAAATGGTGATGCTGATATAGAGAAATGTAGCAATGATAGTGAAACTATAGCAAATAAACTACCATTTGGATGGGTCTTTTCTTATCAGTCAGCGGTAGCGGTTATAAATTGTGCAGCATTAATATTTTCAAGTGAAACCCATGAAGAATGTTGCTTTTGGGGAGGAAAAACAAATGAATCCGAAGGGTTTATGTACCAATCAATACAACTGTATGATTATTCTCGTTTGATCGATTCAGGTCTAGCCCATTACGAATTGTCAGCATCTATCGGTGGAAAACAACAGGAAGCTGACGGTGCATACATCAGTGTGGAGTTTTATGACCAAAGGGACCGAATGTTGGAAGAGATCGACGTTAATTGCTCCACGTCAACAAACTGTACCTCTAATTTGGGTCCAGTGTCAAACGTTGATCGCAAAAACCAAACTAAACTAATACACAAAAACACGACTAATATAATACCCAAATATACACGGTTTATTCATTTAAAAGTGCACTTTCGAAAGTTGGGTCGCGGAGAGAACAGTAATGGAATAATTGATGATGTTCAATTCGCAATTAAGTCAATGAATTATTACACTTAGTCAGCGATAAACCGATTAGGTCTTAATCTCGATGTTCTTTCTTTTTATCATGTAGGCAAAACAGTTTTTTAAACGAACCTTCAGCTTCTCGATTCTCTTCGACTGCTGCTTGTGAGTCATTCTTTGGAGAATGAATCACATTTACATCGACTTTCTGCCATTCGTATGGTACTCTCCGGACTAGTAGAACTCATCACGGCGATCACAAATATCACCTTAACAACTATTCAAAATGACTGTATTGAGTCATATGGCAGTAGCAGTAGCAAGCCAAGGAAAAGTAAGACAGGCATTATTGTAGGGTCTGTGGTTGGTGGGACCATCGGTGCGGTATTAATTATCAGAACTGGAATTTACTGTGTCAAGAAAAAGATAACTTCTCGAAAATACCCCGATGGATGAATTTGCAGTAACTGTGATTCCTGAGTCTGTCAAGAAGTGAACCACCCTCGATCTTCGAACAGCAATGATAACAATTGTCCAACAGACATGCTTTTCTAGACTTATAATACTCTTCATATTTAAGAATGGTTTAGGAAAAATTCTACTTGTTTCTGTTGAGGTCTGAGTAATCAACCGAATGACTTAACCTAAACATCACTGTTTAATTTGTTTATATTCTGAAGTTTTATCATACTAATACCCAATGTCTGCTGATGTCAACCCTCTAACTCACAACTATTCAAAAACAAAAAGTCAATTTTAGACGAAGAAAGATTTGAATTCATGAACTATGCACTAAGCTGTGAAACTAACTCGAGTGTTCTGCGTGTGTATTCTGTACAACAACTAATGTTTTGCAATCTACTCGATGTTCCTAGTATTTATTCTTTGGTTTGTATTCACGTAGTTATTTGGAAAATTTCTAAAGATAAGTGAGCACTCTCAAAAGCTGTTATCAATCTAGGGCTTCTGCGATCAGAAAATTGTAAAGTCTGTCTGGTCATAGCTACATTTTTGAGATCATCAATTTTTCTTTTCTAGACAAAATGAACTTAATGGCCACTTTTACTACTAAATTCACCAGCTCAAGACCTTTGTCTTTTCTACCTCCATTTTCATTGACGTTGGCTCTGGAAACTTTATCTCAGAGATAACATTAGCATTTCACCTTCTTATCTTCTAATGCACAAATGTTCTCTCGTTGGCGCTCAAACGTCGGTTAACCGAAAAGGTACAGGTATTTTGTACATCAGCTAACCACTTAGTACTTAAGAATACCTAACGATGGACTATCTTTAGCTCGCTCGCAAGAATCGCCTGGCAAACTTCCTGCCTCGTCATCGTCCCGTACCTCGCCAAGCTTCGATAAATGTAATTCGTGAGAACAGCCCCGTAAGCTTTCTGCTCCGTCGTAGTTTAGTCCACCGTCAACTCTTGATAAAATCTTCCTCTGGCACTTCCTCATCGATCGAATTTTTATATATTACCCTAACAATGCACTATAGTCGACCCCCGTGGAATTTGGATCGGTTTTGAATTCACTCCCGAATAGCATTGTCTGTGTTTTATTTGGATGTTAAGTACGCTTCAGAAAAATGATTTATTTATTATATATGTTACAGGGAATGTATACATTCCCTGGGGAATCTATACATTCCCTGACATTTGTAGGGAATGTGTACATTCCCTAGGGAATATTCACATTCCCTGGGGAATCTGTACATTCCCTGATAGTGCTCAGGGAATTTGAG